ACTATTAAATGCAAGAACTAACGGTTTATGTGGACAAACCCAGGAATGTTGTCATGGGATCACATACTAGTTCTGATTTGTAATTTTTCAGGAACATCTACACAGACTTCTATGCTGGCTGAAAATACTTTAATTTATTACAGAAAAATAGCATACACGTGGTCTTTTCCCCACATTCATAACAGTGTTTTTCTTAATTTATTGCATTTTTAGTGTAAACAGAAGGGGATTCACTGTGATATTTTCATGAATGATGTCACCAAACGTGGTTCATATTCAACAACTTCCTGCTGTCCTCTCTGTCCCTATTTGTTCCAGATGCTGGTCCCCTCCTTCCACACTAATAGTCCCCTTTCCTCTAGTATCATGTACACATGCATTTCATTCTAAATTGCACATAGGAGAAACATGGAACTATTGTATTTTATTATCTGTTACCCTTTCCAGTTTCTCCTCCTGTCAGCATGCTTCATCATCACAACTGGCTCTCCTTGGACTTTCTTATCACATATATGTATTTTTAAATCTTGGTTATTTTTATGAGAAAATACACATCAGTTTTCATTTTCCTGATGAATACAAGTGCCTCGATCACAGTCCACCTTCACCCTCACTGGTCACCTTCCTCCTTCCCGCCTCTCTGCTCTCAATGAAAACAGCCCCACTTTGGCTACCATGTACGATTTAATCCAGATTCCATATGTGCACAGATGGTATTTGTCATTTTATGTCTAGTTTATTTTCATTAACATGAGGACTTGATTTCCCTAGTGGCTACAAAATTTCCATTGCAATTAGTAATAAATACACAAGGGTTCCTGCTCCCCACATCCCACTGTGTTTACTGTTGTTTGTTTTTCTATGCCACCCTTTTTAGTGGGGACACGATGGGGCTGTGAGCATGAACCTTTGCCTCCATCCCCACCTAGCAGTGCTGCTCTTCTCACAGCAGCAGGACCACGTTGCTTCTTACAGGTTTCCCACCAACATAAAGAGACATCTCAGAATACATTCATTGTGCAGAAGACCCTGGACATGGGGACCGAGCACCTTGGTTGGGTTTGATTTATCAAAGCAACTGAAACATCAAACTCCCCAACCCCTCACAGTCTGTGCTGCCCTCTGCTCAGGCTTCAGACCTGCATGTCACAGTGTGGCCTCGCCCCAAGGACTCAGTTCATTTGCACTGCTATTCAGTCTTTTTAATTTTTCAGGTTCACATACAAAGCAGTGGTTTCACTTTGGCATCTCAGTACATGTGTTTCATTAAGCTCTGTAGTGACTAAGACTGAAGGCCACAACTGGCCAAATTGCAGAGAATAAGAGGCCACAGATGTCTGTCCCAGGACAAGACATCATATGAAACATCAGCCACCCGGGGCTCAGCGACAGTGTGGAAGTGGGGCCAGAGGGACTGTAGGGGCAGGTGCATGATCACAAGGAAACGGAGTCTTCCAGGTGTTCGGGAACTTGTTCTTAATAGCTAACTTACCACAATGGTGACAGCATTCACAAGACTCATGCACTCTTAATCAGGCAAAAACCTAGCAGAGAACTGGGGAAATGTACAGGAGGCCTCGACCTTAGCCGAGGAACTACTGGCAGATGATCAATGCTCAGTGAGGGAGAGTATGCCTTGTTTAGGAGAGTGATGCTAGATGGCTGACCAGACTCCAGTGACTGAACTCACACCAAGGGACAACTGGGGACACAAACTTGACTGGATAGCCTTTAACATATATGATAGAACACACGATATCCAGTTGGAGGGCTATGAGGGGGAAGGATAAGGGATGGTCTAAATACTAAGATGTATTTTATGAAATGCACAAAAATTCCATAAAAATACATATTGACAAAGAAAGAAATTGTTAGAAAGAATCTCACCAATTCATGGCTAGGCCTGGATCTCTAGGTCTTTTTCCTTCTTTTAGTCACTAGTGCCGTAAAATTCACAATACCATTTCTAGGTACACACTTGTTTAACCCTTAAATTCTTTATTGTGTGGGTTCCCCTGGGAAAATACCCACAATGTGTTTAATCTCTTTCTTGACTGCCTGACATTTGTTTCCAAAATTGAATGCAGCTGCTATGAACATTCTCGAAAGTTTTGAGAGAATATATAAACTGCTTCTTCGGAAAATACAATGATAATTTGACATTATGGGTCCAAAGAGGTGTAATTTATTAGACTTAGAATGCTGATATGACTTCATTCGCTGTGTGGGACAATTCTGTCTGATTATACCAGTGTATGTGATTGTGGCTACTCTAAGTCTACACTGACATCTTATTGCAGTTAGTTTTCATTTCCCTAATGAATAATAGTGCTGTGCATATTTACACTTCTGAATTGGATATTCCCCTACATCCCTTTGTGAAATATCTGCTAAACCAATTTGATTATGTCGTTAATTCACTGTTTTCTTTCCTAGGAAAAAATTATGAAGCTTTCTCTGTCAGACATTAGCATTGTGAATGATCCCTCTGTATTTTGCATTTTCACTTTTATAATAGGTTTTTTCATATTTATAATACTAACTTTTGAAGAAGAAATGAGAATAAATACAATGTTAGAAACTCAGGCATGTTAGGCATGTATTCTACAACTCACCTCCCTTCCTGAGTCACAAAAATATAAATGTTCAAAGAGAAAATTCCAGTGCAAACCAACTTACTAGACATCTTGATAAGTAACAGTATTTTTAGAGTTATGCAATTTGATAAAACAGGAGTCAAAATCTACATCATTAACACAGCCATCATCAATACAGTGCCCTGTTCCCTATTCATTTTGTCTCATAGAAAGAACATCTAATATGCACCGTCCTGGCAGATTTCAATTGTGTGAGGCACTGCTGCTATCTGAAGGGCAGGTTGTGACATGGAGAGGTCCTGGTCACAGGGGACACATAGCAGCTGCACCAGATGACTGAACTCCAGAGATCTTTGTTCTCCAGGCTGACTGTGGCTTCATAAAACTTTTATAAACGTGTTAGCAGATGAAGGGGTTCATTGGACCTTTGTGAGGGCTGCATTAAACCTGGAGACCTATCTGAGAATTTCCATGACCCTCATCCCTGCCATATTAGGGTGAGGAGAGGCTGTGTGGTCAGCAAACAGAAGCCTTTGAACAGTGTGAACTGGGGCCATGCTACCCACATCCTGCTCATGTGTCATGTTTAGTCAGTGCCTACCTGCTGTGCTGCAAATGAAAAGTGCTCCTCTCAATTGACACGGAGAGCTGTCCCTGTCAGGCCTGGCTGGATATAGGACAAGCCCCCACTCACCAGGGACCCCACTCGCCAGGGAATCCATTCACCAGGGACCCTTGCTAGGAGACTACAGAAAGAATCCTTTATGGAGAGATCAAAGGTAAGGTCCACTGCCCTTATCCATGGACTGCTGCATGAAGGTGGTTCCTGTGCAGATCAACAGATGTTAAAAGGAAACTGCAGGAGACAAAGAACGTATTTCATATCTTAGAAAATAGATGAAGGATTGCATTTCAAGCAAACAAAAGAAATCAACAGTAAAGTGAGGATGTCCCCGTTCTCCTGACACAAAGATGTCAAACAGCACAAAGCCTTGGGTTCAGTCCTCACTACTGCATGAATGGTGGTGGTGGTGCACACCAGTGATCCCAGCACAGGACCTGAAGGAGGAGTTACAAGTTCAACGTCATCTTAAGTTCCATAGGGAGCTGGGGACCCTGACTATAACAAGGAAGAACAGGAGTCTGCAGAGATGGCTCGGTGGATATGAGCACATGGAGCTCTTCCAGGGGATCTGGGTTTGGTAGCCAGCACCCACATGGTGGGGAACTGCTGTCTGTAATCCACTTCCAGGGGACCTGATGCCTTCTGTGCACCATTCTGTGGGCACTGAACACACGTGGTGCGCTTACATGTATGCAGGCAAAACACATTCATATATATATATATATGTATATGTATATGTCAAAAAATTACATCACTATATTCTACTGCCCCTCCTGAGAAGCTGCCCCACCCGGTCATGGCCATTTATTAGTTTTCTGGCTTCTCCAGAGTTTCAAATTGGAACTTGGATATCTAGGATTTCAAAGCTAGCATCCAGCAAACATGCAAAGTTCTTTCTGGTTGAGGGTTCCCTCACTCAGGACGGTTGTTTCCAGTTCAGTCCATTAACCTGAACATTTCCTAATTTCAATTTTTTAGAGCTTAATAATTTCTCACTGTGTATATGCAACACATCTTTATCCACTCATCATTTGATAGATATCTAGATTATTTCCAACTTCTGGCTATTTTAAAAGGGGCAGCAATGAAAGTGGATGTACAGGTATTTCTGGAGTAAGGAATAGAGTCTTGGGAATATGCCTTAGAGGGGCATGGCTTATCAACTGGGAGGGCATTCTGGAATGTAAAGAAATGTATTTAAAAAAGAGATTAAGAAGTGTTATCCTAATTCAGGGCTACTTTGCCTCTACTAGACACCATTGGCTGAGAAAATGAAACCTCAGTGCCAAGACTGGACCCACTTTCTTGAATCTGGTGACCAGGGGTCACAGAGATCCTAAAACACCACTGGCCATTGATCCTGCTCTTGGGTAGCCACCAGAGTTCCTCTAGAGTAAAACCCCATTGCTGAAGACATTACATACACGAGTTGTAGAACAAAGTAGGAGAAACCAAGCTGGTGCCAACTTCAAAGTCTCATCTCTACTGGCTGTGTTCATAGTGCTGGAAGGTATTGTAAGCGACCAAAGAGAAAAGTAATTGTCAGTTTTACCCAGCTGTGAATCCTAGGAGTCACAGCCACAAATGGGCTGAAAAGAAATGCCCATGGGTACAACAGTGGTGTGAATATTATGGGAGTAACCCACAACTTTCTAATTGGATTTAAGGTCCCCATCAGAAGTTATGAGGTCTAGGAACCTGAGGCCAGACAGGTCACATGGCTTTGGGGAGAGCCTAAAAATAGTTTTCTGTTAAATAGATGTAGTACTAAACTGACTCCTAATGACTTATTGTTATGCACATAGGTTAGTGCATCTCTGAACTCTGACAGAAAAGCTTCCTTATGCAGCCTCTCAAGGCTCAGGGACTATTGTGGGCAAGGGGTAGAGAGACTGTAAGAGCCAGAGGTGGTGGATGACCATATGGAAACAGAGTTTTCCAGACAGCTGGTCAGTAACTCATATGAACTCACACAACACAGTGACAGAATGGACAAGACCCATGTCAGCTCTAGGGGAAGAAATCTGAATATAGTACAAAATTATTGCACGAAAATGGCAAAA